TGCCCTTATAGCCTTGCAATGCTGCTTGCCCCAGGCCTGAGAGGTATTCTCAAGGAGGTGTGAGCAGTGCATGTGCTTTAGCTGTTGCCAGTGTCACATATGCAGACCCGGGAGCATGTCTCCACTAATGATCACGTAGCAAACTTTCTCCCTGGCACTGTCACCCACAGAGAAGGTCAGGAAGAACCACTAATACACTACTGTGAACCCAGAGGGTCAACTTGCATGGGCAAAGATTATCTGTCCCTAAAAGGTTCTGTGGGGGCACTATCAAAAATGTACCTGAAAGGTTTGCATTTAAAGCTGGACTGCTTCAAGGAGACAATTTTTAAAAATTGGAGTTTTTTTGCTTCAAAAATGCAAGTGTCTCTAGTAGAAGGCTTTCCTGTATGACATTAACCAGTTGAATATGATTTGTCTGTGATACAGATTTGTCTCTATGCACAATTCTGCGATAAGATAGTGCAAGCATGTATCTAACTTAAAGCGTCTTACAATAGATAAACTAGTCTGCATAACCTATTTTAGAGTTAAGCTTAACTTCTGTGAGGAATAGAAATGCCTGATCAGCTTTGGCATTTTTCACACAGTCAGGTGTAAATTACTGTGCAGTTATCTGGTACTCTCCCATCCTCAGATTCTTTTTAACTTCAGAAATAGATCTGCCAACAAATTTAGGTAAAAGCAATAAGGCTACCATCTTTGCCAGCTCTGCTTTCAGAATTTACTGTCCTATTCAAGAGTCTGAATATCCAGTTAGAATGTTTTATCCTGAATCCAAAGATCCTGTCCTGTGAAGGAAGGTACTTTAGCTTGCAAGGTGTGATGGCATGTGTGTCTATCACTTTCTTGCCCCAACCTGCATTTCTTGTAATGGGTGGCACCATAAGGCTTGGCTCTCCCTGGGCCATAAATTTTAATACATTTATCTACATGTTATCTGGGTGGCTTCCCACAGCCCCTGAAAGTCACTTTTTAGCCAGTTCTCAGGGGGTGCAGGAGTCTGCAAGCAGAAGCAAGACCACATCCTAGTGCCTTCCTCTTGGATTGTTCAGTCTTTGGATACAAGCCATGTTCTGCAAGGGAGACCAGCGGAAATTTACAGCATTTGTTTGGGTCACCTGTTAAATGAAGTGAAGACTCTTCAGTGCTCAAACAAAAGTTCAGATTTCTACTAAGCTGCAGTGTTCACTGTATGGATGTGGGCAGGTCACTCACATGAAGCCTGTCCTTGCATTAGAGATGTTTTTACTGTAAAATGAAAGAACCCCAGGGAAGTTGCTTGAGTTACTTGGAGGGAAGGTGGCACAGATATGAAATTCCTTTATATAAGAAATTTTGGTGCTTACACATAGCTCAAAGTAGCTAACCATACATTGCTCTAAAATACTTTTTTACCATCTGGCAAAGCACAAGACGTAGCCAAACTTCATAGACAAAAGTCACATTATAAATACAAAACTTCGTTTTAAGTAAGTTCTTGTCAGTTGAGAGAGCTCCAGTATAGCTATGTTCTTTTAAGAAGAGGCCCAGGAGAATCATGGGAAGAAAAAATGGGAGGCTGTTTAAACCTTGACTGATACTTCCCTTTGTAGTATGCCCAGTCACCTAGTAAAAAATTGTGACAGGGAAGGAACTTTTCCTGTGTCTTGGTAAGCTTACTGTGGGGGAGGGAAGGGGTCGCAAAGGGGTGATAGGAGGTTGGGCAGCTGGAGGCCGAAGCAGGTGCAGCAAAAGGGTCAGGAAAGAGAGACGGGCTAGTGACAAGAATGAATCCTGAATGTGGATAGCTTCTTCATGGTATTTCTCCCCAAGCCCCTATTGTGCAAAAATCACCACCCTGCCCTCCCCTTCCAATGTACTTTAGGTTTGCAAGTGATGTTAACCTAAACAATTGATAAATGTAAGCTCCCCTTTCCCATTTTTTAGATGAAAAAACAATGTCTTGCATCAATGCCTTGCTTCCATTGTAGAGACACATTTAGACATGTTCAAAACACAACCCTTTTTATTCTCAGAAGAGAGTTCCTTTACCCTAGTAGCATTATGTTATTGAAGTCATTCATGAAATATCTTTGCACAGATAGTGTAGGCCTGTGATGAGTTGTGCCCACAGCCTAGGCCCGGCTGTCCTGAATTGTTAATGATTTTGCATCAGGGCACTCAAAAGTACAGCAGGAAAAAGCAACAGAGCTGCTGGGAAAGGGGGCACAATTCAGTGGCATGGTACCTCCCTAATTTCTCTGGCTCAAGGGGTTTGGGGTATTTTGTTGCAGAAAGACCTCTGGCATGGTATGTAGGCACCAGTTTAGGTGGGCCAGTGAGCTAGATGGTCAGATCACACCAGATCAGCCAGTGTCTGATTGGGTAGATGGAAGCTTCATGAACATTCTTTTCCTAAGTTGTGCAAGATACACACTATACTGAAAACATTTGCTTAAGAACAGTCTATAAAATTTTTAAATAAATAAATACTAGTGTCTTTTAGGACATGCTGGCATGATGGGTACACAGCTGTTAAAAGGGTGCAATCCTATAGATTGCTGAGTGTTGGACTTTATTTTGTCTAAACCTGGATAGGATTGCACCCTAGGCTTTCTGCATACCAAGTGTTTCAATGGGCTTTCCTTGCTCTAATGATTTTTTCCCTGTGAATTCTTATTTCTTATGAAAAGGGCATATTGGAGTAGTTCTCAGTCGCCTTTATTAAATGAATATTTTATAATGATGCTAGACTGCTAATCTTACACTACAGGAACAATAGATTCTGTACTTTTCCAGTGTGTGAAGAACAAAATAGCATCTTACTCTTCTGGTAGTAAAGCTTTTATTTCTGTATTCATAGTAAGTGCATACACCCCTTCACTTGGGAATATGCTATGAGAATGTTCCTGTGGGTATGTCAGCTTCTGTACCCAAGGATAATGGCTGCTTGAACAGTTTGGCATGCATGCTTTCTCCTAAACACACAACTAAGCTGGAATTTCTACTTCTTCCTGATAGTAAGCCTGAGTTTTCTTTCAAGTTCCAGGCAAGCTCAAAGAAAGGAGTCAGCCGTCTGGATAAGCAGATGCGGAAATTCACAGACATCAGGAAAAAAAGCAGAACGTCCCATGCTGTGAAAATCAGCATTGAAGGCAATAAAATGCCATTGTGACCCAGAATCTTCTTTGAATCCAGCTGGAAGAATTGTACCTATAGACTCTCAGAAGATGTCTAAATTTTTTAAAACAAACTTTGGGTTTTTTAAAGTGTATCTTCAAATGGTTGGTTTAGTTGGTTGTAATACATGTTGACTGAGGGTTATGAACCCTGGGAAATTGTTCTTTATGATTGTATTTAACCCTTATCACTTGTGTCCTTTGTACAGATGAACACTTGTATCGCTACAGACCTCCAACATTAAAATCTCTTTCTGATGTGTGGGGTTGTGTTGCGCTTATGAAATGAATGTGTATTTAGAAGGCCCTGCATATCATGCTGAACTCTGAAAATGAACAGGATACGTGACACATGTATGCACATGTGCGGCTAAAAGTAACCTTGGTTATTTTATTTATTGCATGTATAGTCTGCCTTTTTTCCTCCTTGCATGGAACCCAAGGCTGCTTACGTGATCTTTCCCCTTTCTATTGTATCCTCAGAACAGCCCTCTGAAGCGTGAGCTTCATGGCCAAGTGGACCTGGACCTCAGACCGCCAGAGTCCAGGACCAAACTTCTTAACCACGCTTAAGCTAAATCACACTGACTCGAGACCTCTGTGCACCTCCTGCCCTGTCAAATGCTTGAGTGGCTGAGTTTGGCTGGCTAAGTGTGGCACCTTGGAGAAGAAAGGAAGTTGTTTGAGATGCCAGTAGGATACATTGTATTTTGCTGATACCTCCCTGACCCCATAATGTCCTCCCAAGCCCACCTCTGAGATTGCTCTTATGACACCAGAGGTGCAGCTGACATGTGTTTGTGTGGTGGCTGCGGGAGTGAGCAGAGGGGGGTTGAAACACTGATCTCCAGCTTTAAGGTCAGACTGATTTTCCGGTTTGTAGCTGGGGATTTGAGCAACCCTGTTTTGCTGCTCTGTTAACCACTAAACTGTGTTTCTGTTCCAGTGATTGCGATAGAACATAGTTTTGCCCAGCTTTCGCTGGATTTTATCCGAGAAAGTACATAGTTGAACCTATAAGATTTCTGTGGATATAAAGAAGCATGCAATAGTATTCTGAAACCTTATTATGCTTTTTGTCATTTTATCCTTAAGTACTTGTGCATCAAAGTAAACAGGGACTATAATAGTATGAATGCATTTAGACAGTAATACTCGGAAGTGAGAAGAAATCCTTATACATTATTTTGAGTGTGGTATGTGGTTTCATGCATACACCTTGAAGACATGTATGGATTTTTATTTTTTTAATAAAGGCACAGTGTGCCACTTGGAAGCAGGCAGCTGTTCAGTAGAATAATGAAGACAGGATTCCAAAAGAATTCATAAGGATTCAAGAAGATGTAAGCAGTGCGGGCAACCAAAGATGCTAGTGCTCCTAGCAAGAATAAGGCAAAGCAGTAACTACACAGAGGAGTGCGGCCTGTGCTGTATGCCTCTCCTACTCCAAGTTGGCCTCTGTACATGCCCAAATATGAGAGAAGGGAACAGATAGAGGGATGGCAGATATTTTTTAGGGTAGTTTTGCAAAAAAAGGATTCTAAAGTGATCTGGAAAACAGATAAAATCATGTGCTTCAGAATGCACAGATTAGAGTGAGGAGGAAGGAGAGAAATTCTTGAATGCAGGAAGAGGTATAGTAAGGTGGGGAGCAAGAAAGAACTCAAATTCACAGAGTGTATGTATAGAATTTTGGTGAATGTCTTCATTCTTCAGGTGTCAAGAAAAGAGTAGGATACATTTTGCTTCATGCAGAAGAAAGGCCACTTCCACTCCTTACTGTGTCCTCCAAGGTTTGTTCTGGTAATTCTCTGTGGTGCAAAGAATTCTCTTGTTTGCTTCAAGAACGAAAAGGGAATGCAGAGAGAGCAGGAACAAGATTTTCCTTGCAATTAAAGGTATTTGCTGACCTCACTGTTTATTCCTAGATCTAGGTAATGTAGTTCAAGATGAGATTTCCTCATCCTCACCTGTCCTGTCAAAAGCATGCTAAAAGCTTTTAAAACATGCTAATAAGCTAATTAGCAATAGCACTGACTGATGGCTATGGTGATTTTCTTTTGATGGGTGAGAGAAAGAGCTGAATAAATTCTTGGTAAATCTCTTGGAAACCTGAAACATATAGGTGATGCAGGACTTTTCTACAGAAAGCATTTATTGTTTTCATAATTCGTCCTTTGCAAAACCTTGCCAATACTTTACATGACAGTGTTATCCTGCCAGAGCCTGTGTCCTGTATTCCAGCTTTTTTAAAGCAAGCCTTTGGCTCATGAACCTCAGGTTCTGCATCCCTGTATTAGGATATGGGAAAGAAGGTAAACTTCAGAGGCGCTTACTAGAAGATAGAGGAGTACTGATTGTTACACATCGAAAGATACTGAGTGGCTACTCTTTTTTCCTTCTTAATGGCTTTTCTGTAGTATGAAAAAGGTGCAAAATGGGAGAACACAAAAATATTGCATTAAAAGATGTCTGCATCCTCTATGAGAAGTCAATGAATGAGGCAGGATGACTGCATAATAGTCTTGAGTGAAACTACAGGTGTCCCCTAAGTGATCAGCCTTTCAGGTGGCCATCCTGGACCAAATACTCCTTGGGACTCCTATTGAACTTCTGAGTATCATTTTTACATTTATTAATATGTAGCATGAATATTGCTTGTTCATTGAATATTGAAAGTGTTGATAATCTTTCATGCTAGAGCTTTGAAAAATAATGCTATGAATTATCAAATTAACCTGAAGCCCATACTATACAGAATACTTAGGCTGAAAGACCAAATCTTGCATGCCACTCTGCATGAAAGATAAAAATTGCCTACAATTCCTGTGTTTAAAAACAAGGCCCAGCATTGTATAATGGTTAAGAAAAAAGTTAAGATTGTCCAGTTGCAATGGGGGGGGATGCAGACATGACATATTTAACAAGTTGTTTGTTCCTTAGTTTTTAGTGGAAGAAATATGAAATACAATGTACACAGGCAGTACGTTAGTAAAAGTGGCTGCTTCAGACCCCATTCTATATCCTAACTGCTGCCTCAGAGTGTGGCAGGCAATGAAATTGAATCCACACTTAACCATTATTTCAGCAGGTCTAAAAGATGACTAAATCTAGACATGGCCCAGTGTTAACAAGATGCATGCTGATGACAGGGGCTTCTACAGGACGGAGAACTAACCAAATATGCAGCCGATATTCTGAATTTGCTTAGTTAAGAAAAGGTATTCCAAGCTGCAACTAGCTCATGTCTTTCTCAGTAGTAGGTGTGTGAATAAATCCTTTTCTCATGTCATTATTTTGGCCCAAGGGAGCGACTGTGAGGTAATATCTATGCAGCCAAGTATATGCATATCAGTAATCCAATGTGCAAAAAACAATGTCTCTTGCAGAATGATGTTCATTGTAGGGTATGCAAAAATCCACTTTCATCTGTTGCACTTTCAGTAACTTCTTTGATCCATGAGATGTAGTTGGCCACTCGTGTGTAGGCCCCGTATTTTCCTGATTCAGCACAGCCTTCCCCCCAGCTGACAATCCCCAGGAGATACCAAGTGCCCTGATAAGGTACTGCAAAAGGACCCCCACTGTCCCCCTTACAAGAATCCTGAGCCTCCTCTGCATAGCCTGCACAGAACATGTTGCCAGTAATGAGCTTCTCTGTCGATTGCCTGCAAGTGTCCATGCTCACAATTGGTAACCGGACGTTCAGGAGGAAGCGAGATAAGCTCCCTTTGGAGTGGGTGGACCCCCATCCACTAACCATTCCAGGTTCCTTCCCTTCCATCAGGAGAGTAGCTAGGTCGGGGCTGGGAAGGCAGATCGGGAGCACATGAGTGGTGAAAGCCACATCGCTGGTCAGCTGGATCAAAGCAATGTCGTTGTTGTAGTTACTTGAGTCATACTGAGGATGCCTCCAGTATTGTTGCACCCTCACTTTTTGTTCATCTCGTTCTCTCTTATATTTGTCGAAGTCTCCTGAAAGGCAAATGAGCATGTGAACATGGTGGGTACAATTGGATCGCTGGATCGTTGTTGCTCATGCAAAGCAATGAGAGCCAAATTAAAAATGGCATCAGGCACATGAAGGAAAGGATCCAAAGTAATAGAACATCCCTCAGGTTTTCTTTTCACCCCTGGGGACTTTCCTCCTTTCTATTTGTTTCTCTGTGTTCCAGTACACATGACGTTCTGGTGCAAAGCAGAATTTAGACATTACGCTCTAACAAAAAATGACAGCAGCCAGGTAAACAGCCAATGTTCCTTGCTCTGAAAAAAACCATGAAAGCCACAGACTTCCATGAGGGATCCCAAGCACACAATAAATGTCTCATGTGAAGAAGCCCGAAGATCCTGCTAAAATGTTGATTGTGTAAATCCAAAATGTTTTGGATGTTGAGGCAAACTCTTTCTCATGCATTGCTCAGCTGCAGACTTCTCTAACCAGATGCCCTCAGAAGCATGGAAGCTTTCACCCTCTGATAAAGCAGCTTATGACATCTCTAAAATTCTCTTAGGATGGTGATTTGTTTGGCACTAAAGATTATGTTGGAGCACTTAGTGGTTATGGGTTGGACCTACATTATGTGCATCTAACTGGGCTGACTGAGTTGGCCAGCAGCTTCATGAAAATGCTAAACAAAGGATCAAGGGACCATGGTGAATGAGGTGAGCTGCAGTGCAGGAGGACGGGAGAGGTGGGGCCCCTTCTGTGAACAAAGCCCTCTGATCATCTGAAGGGAGACCTTGCGGGCAAGCCAGCATGTTCACCCTTACCTCTAAGAAGGCTAGAAAGAATGTTTTAAAAAGGGGAAAGCTGGCATACTCAGCTGGGTGGGAGAACCCACTGCATCTTCTTGGAGCTCGTGTGACCTTCTGATTGCTTTGGTGGCTGTGTAATACTCACCGACAGTAACTTGATATGGGTTGACAGTATCAAGGCAGTGTGCTGCAGTGAGGACCCACCGACTGCTGATTAAGCTGCCCCCACAAAATCCATATTCTCTGTTTGTTTGGAGCAACACCTAGAACAAGAAAAGGCATCACTGATGAGCCACTCAACCCAGCAATCACTCTCTCTGCCAAGCAGAGAACTAAGGAAACTGTGGTGAAAAAAACAGAATGCCAGTGAAAAGGAAATAAGCAAGTGTTAAGAAACCATGCAAGGAAAATGGGGATTGTTCAGTTCTCTGGCAGTGGATGGGAAGTCTAGAAAGAACTTCCTCTGGCTCTGTAAGGTACAGTTATATGGGGCCAGTGGCATAGTACAGTCAGGGCCCACAGCACCCATAGGATGCAGCATAGGTACTTTGCTTTAATTACAGAAACCCTTGTAGCATCTACACCCCCAGCCCAGAGTTCCTCATTCCCTTTGGGCTTTCTTGTAATCCTCACAATAGCTGGGGGCTGGGATGGGAATGAATTTTCCCAGCACAATATATAGTGCCCTCTTGTAATGCAAAGTACCTTGGGACAGTCCATGACAATACAAATCTGCACATTTGGCTGAATTTATGGACTCTCCTTGGGGGTGTGGCTATGGAGACAGTCATGATGAGTGCCTGTGCTTCAAACTGTGTCAGTACACCAGCGTCTGGGGCTTGTTTGGGAAATGCTTTGCTCACAGCAGAAACGGCTCCTTACAGGATTAGGGAGGCACTGGCCTGAAGGCCCACGTGTTCCTACCATCACCATAATAACCCTAACAACACCATCCACTCTTTGGGAGGCCAAGCTGTGCCACTCCAGGGAAGGTCATATATCTTGATTGGGATGTGTGGCAATTGCGGCTGTTTGGTTCAAGACACCTAAAGGATCATGTGACCTGGCTAACAACCATGCAAGATATTTAGTATTCATTGGCTTACATTTCTGTATCGCCCAAAAGCTGCTTTATTGAGTCCATTTTGTCAAAACTGTCACGAAAAATATTGGTACCTGCCAAGGACAGCTTCCTGGGCGGCAGAAAGAGCCACCTACTATCTTGCCTTTTTCATCAGAGGAGTTGAAGGATGGCAAGTGGGGGACATCCCATTCTGAGAAGTTTCCCTGCTCTTCAAGGATTTCTTGCTCAATCGCTCCCTGTAGCACTGTCTGATTCAGCCCTGCCCAGGCAGCTGGATGAAAGCTCTGGTTCCAACTGGACACATTCTCTTGACCCATTGTTTCGTTCAGTAGAGCCACATCTGAAGCATCCGTTTGGTTGCCTTCGGCTGAACGTCCCTGATAAGAGCGTAAGGATTTCTTAAGCAACCCACAGGGAAAACGAACTAAAGAAGAAAAAATTAAATCTATTAAGTACAGTGTAGACTATTTCGCTAGTAACAGGAAGTGGCACCATGCCTCATGACATTTCTCAGTGTGCATGTCTCTCTACTTGAAACATGAAAAGTAAAACAAAGCAAAACAAAACAAAAACAACAATGAAGCCTAAACAATCAGCTTACTTTTCTTTTTAAGCCATCAATTTCCATAACTCAAATGATTTTTTCCCCTTTTGTTGTGGAAAATGTAAGAAATGAAAGCAAATGCATCACTTGCGAACTTATCCGCATTCTTAAGTGTACCACACTGGGAGCCAGGACTGGGGAAACCCCTGCAGGTTACTGGGAGATTCTGGGCCAGCTTTAGGATGCTGTTCATTTTGGTTTGGTTGGGCTTCTTCAGCTTCTCACAAAGCACATGCTTGACACCAGACAAACGTTTTACATGCATAGTAAATCTGGTTCAGTGGACAGAGAACAGCCCATCCCAACCTGCTGCCCTATAGATTTGTTGAAGAACAATGGCTTGATGGGAGTGGGAATCTATCACATCCAGAGGATGCCTGACTGAAGCTGTCCGATATCTCATGCTGCAAGCAAGTTCCAAAGCCAAGCAACAATGGCTGCTCCCTCTGGCCTTGGCGTGCCACCACTGGTCACCCAGCACTGTAAGAGGAGGGCACAATGAGGCAAATATCCTAACACACTTGGTAAGATGGAAATGAAGAGGGAATTTGCTCGAGCTTTGCCCATTGAGCATGGGCACCTAAACGCACCCTTCTCAGGAAGAACAAGCCATGATTACCTGATGGTGTGCAGCTCTTCCCGTCATCACTTAATGCATATCCCAGAGCACAGGAGCAAGTCACATAAAGCCCCTGCCTGGTATCTTGGCAATATTGTGAGCAGCCGCCGTTCTTGTACCAGCACTCAGACTTCTCTGCATCAGAAGCATACATCAGAACAGCCTTAAGTCATGTTGCTGCTGCAGACCCCTCAATGCTGTTAGCTTTTCAGCAATGATGCTTGAACAATAACCACGATAATATAATAGGGAGCTGTTCTTATCTTCCTAACAGACCTGCCTAGCTTCTGAATGCCATTTTGACCCCTGGCATTGTGAATGAAGCTTGCCCAGTCTACAAAGTTTCACGTTTTCACCTGCACTGGCACATCCTGGGTTTTGTAGCTCCTGCTGAAGTGTTATTGAATACTGAGAACTTGTCACACACAGTCACATCACAGACTGTCTGCAAGCTGAAATCCGGAGGATGGAAAACAGCTCAGCTACTTCTGACTTATCTTTCTGATATATTATGTTTTCTATGTAAATGTTTTCTTTATATCTCACCCCTCAGTGAATTGACCCATTGCTGTGGTCAGAAGTCAGCCAGGCTCTGGCAAGGTAAAGTAAAGGATTCCTTCCAGCAGTGGAGGCATGGGAGGGGGTTATTCCTCTTCCTACCTCCATGTATGTACAAAACCCCATAATTTATTTTAGCTTCATGCTTGCTGGGTATAAACAGAAAGTCAAAAGAAACTTGCTTGGCCAGTTTGTCCTGGAAAAGGACAAAAATAATGGAGGCTTGTCGCTATGCCTGCTGGGAGCAATAACCACTCTGCAGACATGGGAGCAAAGACAAAGCCCACGCACTTTCACCACCCCTCAATGGCTCCAAGAGGGACAGTAGAGGCACGGGCTTGTGCCAGCTCCAGCTTTCGAGGGCCCTTGCCCACGGCATCCTCAGCAGGTCCCCCGGCTCAGTGAGTCTCCCTTCTCCTCACCAGGGCCCACGGCCGCTCTTGCTCTTCCTTCTCTTGCTCAGCAGTGCTACCAGGTGCAATGCAGTGAGTGTGGGAGCAGGCGGCTTCTTCGTCTGGGCCAGAACAGAGTGATGGCTAACTTAAGTCCCATTGATTTCAATTGGTCTGCTCTAAGTATAGCTAAATCTAGATCCAGCTCCAAGCGGGTTACATGCAAGGAATTTTTTTTAAAAAAGAACACATATGAACAACAACAGTAGCATAAAATCATATGGCAGATATGAAAATCAGTTTTTTTGACTAAAACAAAGTAAAAGTCCTCAGAGGGTAAATGGCTGCCTGATACCAAAATGGCAGTGAGGTAGAAGGTGCGCAAGGCTCTCTTGGGAGAACTTTCTAGCACCTGGGGGGGGGGGTCTTTCTCCAGTGGGATCCTCTGAGGGAATTCTTAGGGTCGCAAGCTCTATGACATAGTATTGCTATGACAACTGAGATAGCAGGGAAGGCCTGAATATGGAACAAATTAATATTATTCTATATCTCACACTTACCTATTTCACACTGGTTTCCTCCAAACTTTGGAGGACAACTACAGGAATACTTATGATGTTTAACGTTGCAAATCCCACCATTCTTACAGATATTGTTTTTACATGGGTTTGAATCTGTTTGGAAGGAGAGAAATCTGTGGTAAAAATCAAGGCAGGGTTTTGTTTTTATCCATTTATTAAGTAATATATACCCTGTCTTTCTATTGCAGCACAGAACACAGCTTTCAATATTAAACTTACAGACAAAAGCATTCATTAAAACACATACAGCAGAAGCCAGTCTAATACATGGGTTTACCAAAACTACGTTAACAGTGCAACCCTATTCATGTGTGCTCAGAAGCAAGCTACAGTGACCTGGATTGCATGTAACAATAACATGGGCCATGGGTTGTGGTTGAATTGTGGGTTGTTGTCAGAGGCAAATCCTGCATTTTGGTTTAGCCATGAGCTGTTAATTGCAAATGACTCAGAGTGGTCAGGGTGTTGGACTGGCACTTGGGAGATCTGGGTTCTAGACCTCATTTGCTCACTGGATGACTCTGAGGTAGCCTTAACTACCTCACAGGATTATTGCAAGGATGAAATAGAGGAGAGGACGGTCATGTAAGCCACTCTGCATTCCTTGAAAGAGGAAAAAAAGCCAGGATATAAATGTAATAGCCATCAATGAGTTGTTGATCATTAACAACCATTGTAAAATCATAGTGCGGGGTTTCCATGTACTAGTGATGCATGATTCAAGTACAGTCCATGATTCAGTGAGATCCCATATTCATGGCATATTCAGCCCCTACAAATGATAGAGTTTCATGGGATTTGCTCCCAAGAACGTGTGTACCTTAATGAACTCAGTCTGGTCAACAAAGAACCTGCCAGAACAAAAAGGTTTTCACTAAACAATGAGAGACCAAGAGCTAGTGAGACAAATGAGGTTCCCAAGACATTTGTATGCCTTTAGTTTTCATTAATAATTACTTGCCCAGAGCAGGAGAGAAAAAGAACAACAAATGAACTCCTACCTCCATATGCAAACCAAAATTCTGTCTGCAAAATAATAATAAACAAACAAATGATTATTAAATGGGTCAAATAATACTATCTTTGGTGGGAAAACTTTCCACATTTTTAGATTTTTAAATGAATTAAAGTACTTGTGACTCCTGTGGTTTATGTTCTAGAGCAGGAAAGAAGGTAGATTTGGATCTATTAGTACAAGGATCCTCAGTTGGTTCCTGTCATGCGTATGCGCTCAGAAGAGTCTCTTATGTGCACAAAAGGGGAAGAAACTTCTCATGAGAACCAGAGCATCAATGAAGAGTCATTTCTGGTTTCAGCAGAACAACTTTACTCTCCACTCTCACAGATAGTGAGAGTAAGAATGGGCCAGATAATAAGGTGCTGAAAGAAGACAAAACGGAGGCACGGGAACAGGGCAATTTGGGAGTAAATGTGAGAACAGACTCGCAATCTTCTGATATATATACAATATATATATTGTATATATATCAGATATACAATCGGGTCCTCTGCAAGGGTGAGGACCCGATTGTATTGGTCTGCCACCAGAGCCGGATGGATCCTGATGGATTCCTGGAAGCTCTGGGGGATTTTCCAGTTGGCAAGGCTGGTGCTCCTGTAGATGCCCTGGTTGAACTGTGGAATGAGGAGATGACCAGGGCTATTGACACGATCGCTCCCAAGCGTCCTCTCCCGCCTGGCAGAGCCCATTCATCTCCGTGGTATATGCTTGAATTACGGGCGATGAAGCAGGTTGGGAGATGTCTAGAGCGTAGGTGGAAGAGATCATGGGGTGCTTCTGATCGAACACACTTGAGAGCCCATTATCGGGCCTATGCTGTGGCGGTGAGGATGGCGAAGAAGAAATTCTTCTCCGTTTCCATTGCCTCCTCACAATGCCGTCCGGCGGAGCTCTTCTGGGTGGTGCAGGGGCTGATACATCCAGGCCCGAAGATACATCTTGTGCCACCCTCAAAGGCCTGCTGTGGCATCTTTGCCAAGCATTTCAGGAGAAAATCACTCAGATTCGCCTCGAGATTGACTCTGCTATTGGATCAGATTCTACTGGGAAGACGCCATCGACGCCGTTAAGTCCACAATTAATGGATGAATTTCAGTTGTTGAAGCCTGATGATGTGGACAAGGTGCTTGGACAAGTACGTCCTACCACTTGCTTACAAGACCCATGCCCATCTTGGCTACTTAAGAAAGCCAAGGACAGGATTGTGACCTGGATCCTAGAGGTGGCCAACGCCTCTTTAAGAGACGGCCGGGTACCTGCCCCTTTAAAGGAGGCGGTAGTCCGGCCAGTCCTAAAGAAGGCATCCCTGGATCCAGAGGTGGCCACCAATTATAGACCGGTGGCCAACATCCCGTTCCTGGGCAAGGTGCTAGAGAGGGTGGTGGTGGGACAACTCCAAACACTCTTGGATGAAACTGATTATCTGGACCCATTTCAGTCTGGTTTCAGACCCGGGTATGGCACTGAATCTGCCTTGGTCGCCCTGTACGATGACCTGTGCAGGGAGAAAGACAGGGGGAGTGCGTCTCTGTTAGTCCTCCTGGACCTTTCAGCGGCTTTCGATACCATCGACCATGGTATCCTTCTGGATAGGCTAGCGGGATTGGGAGTTGGAGGCACCGCATGGCAGTGGTTCCGCTCCTATCTCAATGGCCAATTCCAGAAGGTGGTGCTGGGGGACTATGGCTCTGCACCATGGCAGTTATGCCATGGAGTTCCGCAGGGGTCCATTTTGTCCCCTTTGCTTTTTAACATCTACATGAAACCACTGGGAGAGGTCATCAGGAGATGTGGGCTGCGGAATCATCAGTACACTGATGATACCCAGCTCTACCTCTCGTTTTCCACCAACCGAGGTGAGGCAGTGGCTGTGCTGAACCGGTGCCTGGCCGAGGTAATGGGCTGGATGAGGGCCAATAAACTGAAGCTCAATCCAGACAAGACGGAGGTCCTGTTGGTGGGCAGATCAGACCTCAGGATGGGGGACTTGGGCCTTGTCCTAAATGGGGTTGCACTCTGAGGGACAGGGTTCGCAGCTTAGGAGTGTTCCTCAAACCTGAGCTGTCTTTGGAAGCTCAGGTGATGGCGGTGGCGAGGAGCACCTTCCTTCAGCTTTGGCTGATACATCAGCTGCGTCCCTTCCTAGAGCATGACTGCCTGGCGACAGTGACACACGCGCTGGTGACTTCCTGTCTTGACTTCTGTAACGCGCTCTACTTGGGGCTACCCTTGAAGACGGTCCGGATACTTCAATTGGTGCAGAATAGAGCTGCCAGGTTGCTGACGGGGACTGGGCGTTGTGCTCATATAACCCCAGTTCTCCGTCAGCTCCACTGGCTCCTGATTGAAGTCCGGGCCCAATTCAAGGTGTTGGTTATGACCTATAAAGCCCTAAATGGCTTGGGACCTGGTTATCTAAAGGAACGCTTGCACCCATATATGCCCTCCTGCCCCTTGAGGTCAGCAGCAGATGCCCTCCTCCGGGAACCCTCTGCGAATGAGATTAGGAGGGTGAGCACCTGGAGGAGGGCTTTCTCTGCGGTGGCGCCCCATCTATGCAATGCACTCCCCAGAGAGGTCCACCTGGCCCTGTCATTATTTGTTTTTCGGCACCAGGCTAAGACCTTTTTATGTAAAACTTATTTTAATGGTTAATTATTTATTAACTAGGGGTTTGTTTGTTTTTAATTAGCCGAGAATGCACTGGGGGGGGGTGTTATTTATTATATGATTTAGTATTTATTTATTTTATTACATCTGTATTTATTTATGTGTTGTGAGCTGCCCTGAGGCTTTGTTGCAATGGGCCGGCATAGAAATGTTTTAAATAAGTAAATATAGAGTGTGAGAACCTAACTGGTACGGGACACGTGGGGTATGAAGATGCTTGGAATCCAGATTGACTGAACGACGCAACAGAGAGTTCACAGTGCCCTGCCTATGGGGGTGTGGCCACGGAGGGTTCATAACCAAAGTGTGGGTTGAAGTTCGTTGGAATGAGGGATCAACTTTCTATCCTGTTTTGATTTTACATGCATAGCTGTTTAGAATCTGCTGGACTAATTGCTTTTGTTGGGAAGGAGCGGCGGCCACATGACAGTTCCATTAAAAGGGGATCTAGGCATAGGAAAGCAACTGACTTTCCTCTCACCTCTTTAGTGGGTTGTCCAAAGGAGCTGTGGAAGCCAGTGCAAAGCTTCATCTACCATTCTTGAGAATACAGGGAGGATGGAAATATGGCCGAGTTGCAGAAAAACACAACTTCAGATGCAGCCATATATGAATTGCTCCAGTGTAAGCTGGTTCTTTAATCTATGGTTTTCTTAGTTGATTCAAATGTTGAGTGGATTTATTGACAAATGGTGGAATACACATTTTCTGATAACTACAAGGATCTATCTGAATGGGACAGCAGACTATTTTGTGGTTATTAGATCTTGTGGGATACTTGGACAGGAGCCCTTTCCTGTATCTCACAGCTACCTACCTAGATTTAGATTGCCTGAAGTTCAATTCCTCACCGTTTTCTCCTGTGATTTGAAAATCTCTCTTGCCTCCTCAAATGAACATTTTTCTTCATTGCATTCTCTTTCCAGATCTCCTGGGCGAATCTCCTCCAAGAATTGGTTGGCACGTTTACGAATTCTCAGAACCTGGCTTGCCTCACTGTTTTTCATAAACACTATGAACACAGAGGGAGATACTATCATTAATCCTGTTTCTTCCATTCAGGCTGAAATCCAAAACAAACTTATTAGGGAGTAATAAGTTGAACACAAAGGGGTGTACTTCCAAGTAAATACCCACAAGATTTCATTATACATCTGATCACCTATGCAGCTAAGTTAGGTTAAAAGAGTAGGTCATTCCGCTTGCTTAGCGTGAATTAAGAGCTATATTAAACAAATATATTCCTAGTTCCTTGACAATGTTCCAGCCCCTGGATTCCTCTCAGGGCTGTATCTGGGTAAAATGGAGGCTGCACCTTCGATTTGACTTTTTGTCAAGCTTTGACAGCCACAACAAAATGTTATTAATAATGGCTACCTACCTGATAAAGAATATGATAGGTTGCTGTTGAAGAAGCAGATTAATAAAAGCAGGGCTGCACTTGAGGAAGCCCTAGCCATTGTACAGCCAAAGCGGGTAGAATATTTTGGTTTGTAGATGATCACCTACATGGAGAAGACAATGAAACAAGGTATTTCTCAAGCAAAGCAAGTAAGAGAGCAGGAGAGGGAGGGAGAAGTCATATGTGTATGTAAAAAAATTGAGACTGGGGTAAGAGACCTAGAAACAAATATAGAAATGACAAGAATTTAAATCTAAGTATCTTTCATGACTTACATTTCAATTCTTTAGATGTATTTAAATATCTTCAGAATTGATACAATGAAATGTAGAGGAATGGTAACTCAGATGTTCTGCTCTTATAGCAAAATCTGCGTGTTGAAGGCAATGGAGGCAATTGTAAGAAAGCTGTAACACCCAAAGAACAAAGAATAGCACTTTTCAAGGATGACAATAACCAGTCTCTTGTATATTCTGTTCATCCTCTGTGGAAGGCATCCAATTCAAACAGGCTTTTGAAAACAATGTCTTTCTTATATTTACTGATTTGCACTAATTACATTTATCAAGTATAGCATACCTTTCCAAAGTTAAGTGTTAGGGATATCCAGCAATTGCTGCAGACTGGATTTTGAAAAGGAAGAATATAGCAAAAGTGGAGGGTCCCCGCACAGAACATGTAGGCAACTACACCCTTTTCCTTTAAGGAAGCTGCCCCCAGTATGTTGCAAGATAGAAATACTGTGTTCTCTTACCTGATTAGAAAGGACAAACTGCTATTTGGATGAACACTGAAGAAAGCTCTGGGAATGCATGTGTTGATGATTAAGCTATCACAAATATTGACAAAGAAGCCTGGCTCCACAGCTGGGGGAGTGGGATGGGGATGAGCCAATCTGAAGAAAATTATGTTTGAACCGAAAGCTAATCAACTCCTAAAACACCATTACACTAACCAGGCCAACTTTTTCATGCTCTGGAGCATTTTTTCCCATGAAATCCTTGGGTCTTTTTCTTCCTTGTTGCTAAACAATTAACTCTCCAGAAAGCATGATGAGTTTTCTCACCTAACCAAAGGGTTTTTTTCTAGATGGCAAATGTACTTTCCTCCTCTTCAGAGCCATAGTTATTCATTTACTTTCAATATCTTTTGCTTTTAGTAGGTATCAGAACTTTGAATTAACAGGATGTCAATCCAATCCAATATCTTCAAGTAAGTTGGGGGAATTGATACTCATAATTATTATTTGCACATACGCATGTGAGCACACTCCAGCACACACAAACAGAGCCTTTCTTCCAAGGCACTTGTGAAGTTTGGGGTCAATCAATAATTAATTAGAGCTTTTGTTAGCCCCTCTTCAGAAGCCTTGGTTCCTTGTTCAGCTTGCTGATAAAACCAGTACAAAGCAAACTGATAAAATCAAGCATAAAAGTGACTCAGGGCACAGACCTATGTCTGGTAGTCATTGTTTGGCCAGCCACTGGGAAAGGTAGGTCCCCAGTGTGACCCTGGAAAAGGCTTCCAAGTTTGCAGTGGGGACTGTGCCTGCAGAAGGCTCACTTCCATTCTGTTGTGTGGCTGATGCAGTTGCTTCTGCATCAGCCACACTCCAGAAGAAGGAAGACTGTCTTTGGGACAGGCACTCAGGGAGTTTGGAGAGGCGAGGCACAAATCTGGGCAGTGCCTCAGCTGTCCCTCCTCACAGCAAGGGAGAAATCAGCTGTTTTTGAGGGTGAGGGGAGCGCAGAGGCAATACTACCCTCTGGAATCATCCTGCCCTCCGAGGATGCTCATAATCTTCCGAGTTCAAGCAGGTTACAGGAGGACACATAAGAAGGTGTCTACACAAAACTCAGAAGACAGAAGCAAATAAGCAGGTTGTACCTTTGCACTGAAAAATGAGTGAAGGAAGCACAAAGGCAAGGAGGCTGGAAATGTTAAACTAAAGAAAAAGAAACATAATAAATTTGTAAAAGAGAAGAGTTCTTTCAGGCTGGCATCAGGAGGCAGCAGCTCAACCAGACCATACTTCTGACTTGCCTAGGTAGGCAAAGACCGTAAGATGTCCTACTTTACAAGGACAGTCTTCTTTTTGAAGGGGTTTTACTTTCTGAAGGGCAGTCTAATAGAAGTCTTTTCTGAAGACAAAGAACCATAAAGAGGAGGAGCAGGGGCCTTGAATTGGAGAGCAGACACACAATTCTTTCCAGCTGCAGTTTTTTCCATGACAATGAAATGCTTTGGATTTCTGTTTAAGTTCTGGGCATTTTCTTCTGAATGTGCAGAAACAAACACACAATTGCATGTGCTTATTGGTTTGCAAATCTGCAACACCTTTTCCTTTTCCAGTGATGTGTAGCAGCAACCTCAGGACTCCGTACATAAGCATCTGGGAAGGCTGGAGAGGGCTAGGGCAAGCTGATTTCACTCAGGCCATTGTGGTCTCTTCTGGAAAGTGCATGGCATGATGCCCTGGCCTTGGCTTCTCTTCCACTGAATGAGTGAAGAGAAGGGGCAGGTTCATCCTAAAGGTAATAGGTAGGCCTTGGGCTTAAGGAGAGACAAATTTCAGAAAACTGTTCTTGCCACAGTTTCTTTGTTATAAAATCCTTGACACACCTGAAGGACCCCTAAAAATTAATCAGTAAATCTCAACCTTCCTTTTAGCTACAACAGGGATGCACAACCTGTTGTTATGGTTGCTTTGTTTTTTGATTTTTGTTTTTTGTAAACCGTCCAGAGACTTTTAGTATTGGGACAACATATAAATAAATAAATACATACATACATACATACATACATAAGCAAACCTACAGTCCAGAGAGCATGCAGGCTTCCAAGGCCTTAATAGCTTAATTATATCGTTTTAACTGGTGTAGAAATACATTGTGAGCCACCCAGAGAGCCTTATGGCTAATGGGGCCGCATATTCGTAAAGCAAATACATACATACATGTGACAATTGTGTGCCATGCTCTCTTAGCTACCAGGAATCCCCCCACCAATTTCTTGCTGCTTGTGCTGCCACCCTCTGCTAGCCATCTTACCCCCCCCCCGCCTGCCCCCACCTGCAGCAGCAAGGAGAGCATGATCTGCACTGGGCTCCCTGGGAGACATTCTCCACCCTGACCCGAGCAACCCTGTGCGTGAACCCTGCTTCTAGACGGTGCCAGATCATGGCCACAAGCTTTTGCATGCGTGTATGTATGGCCAGGTGGGCATGTATGCACAAGCGGTTCTACACATGAACAGGTGCATATACATATAGGGCTCGTGTTGTGGGCTGCCACTGTATCTTGTAGCAGCAAATTCCATGATTTAACCGTGGACAGGTGACAGCTCAGTGACGGAGCACATGCTTTGAACCCTCTTAAGTACAGGGCTGAATGTGAAAGATGCTGCCAGTCCATATAGACTGAGGGCAGAGAACTTGTGCCCCTTCAGATATTTTGGCAATTTTGGCAATGGATGATGGTTTTAGGGGGCTAAACTTTCTGCAAAGTCACAAGCTACTGCCCATGGCATAAAAAATGCTTAGCTAGATGGACCAGTGGCTAAACTCAGTATTAAAGCAGCTTCCTTAGTTCCTGTATATTTCTGCAGATGAATTTCTTGAATTAAAATACATGCAGAGCATAATCTGTTGCTCTTACATGATTCGTGCCTTTGTGGTCACATTTTAGGAGTTTCCCATGAAAATCAAAGGAGTTATGGCAACTGATCGAAGAATGACAGAAGAATATCTGTACAGAAGGCCAAGCTACTGGCTGTTCCCCTTTGGATTTCATACCCCTGGGCCAGCCTCTGATTACAGGCAAGAAGAAAAGAACAACATGCATTTTGATCAGGAGAGTTGGTTCTATGGCTCCTGAGCATCCAGTAGCAGCAAAGTTTTAAGCTGTCACAAGCAACACCACCTCATGATTTCACTTTTATCTTTCCTGGAACTGCACAGTGTGAAGACAAAGGCTCACAAATATGTTCCAAAAAGGAGGAAAATTGAACATAGCACCCTTTCTGCAACATTTTGGAACAGATGGGTGAGGGCAGTAGAAGAAGCTTCATTAGCACAGTAAGTTAATTGGAATCTATAATATTTAATCATTGTAACTATGGTATTGATAAACATTTAAAAATTATAAAGTTATGAGCTAGAAAAGCCCTTCAAAATAGTGAGTTCAGAAGTTTACTTCAGAGTTTCAAATGGGAAGTAAAATCCTGAATGTGTTAACCTGGTCAGCAAAGTAGCCCAAATGTTTTTGAAAGTTCTGTTTATTTAATATTTTTGCCAAAAAACTGTTCAGGTGAGCCTAACAGTGCATTCCAGTAGGGTGATATATACATTTTGTACACTAAACTTGATATTTTATATATCCATATCTATACCTCAAAGGCAAAAAGATAAGCTGACTGCAGTTTTACACATTTGCATCCATTCGCTTCTTTATTAAAACTTCCATGGTACATCAGCGTTCTTTAAATTTAGAAAGCCATAATTCCTATCCAGAGCCCCTTTAACCAGTTCTAATCTTTGTTAAGCAATTAATACACTTCTAATCTATGACACATACACACAATCGCTTAGTGTCATAAGAAATATTTGGTGGATCAGCCCAAGTTCTGCTCAGTCTAACATTCTTCTCAAAACCCCCTGCTCCCAGCAGGCCCTGCTGGGTAACTTGTCGGGGGGCTGCCGTCTTTCCTGACGTGTATAGTGGGGAAGAAATATAAAAGGCACCACATGCTCACTTTGCACCTTCTGCATATATTAGCAAATAAAAAACACTGGGCATACTATGGTGCAGGTCTTGCTGCCCTCCTCTTTTTTGCAACTTAGTTTGTGTGAGAAACACCTTGTTTCATTTTTTCCTCAATCCAGTCAAGATAGGAGCTGACCTTCGTGTAGATTCCATAGTTATCAAGTTTCCCACAGCCTTCTCCCCAGCTTACTAATCCGATCAGGAACCAGGTGCTCTTGAATTTTGTGACCATAGGGCCACCGCTGTCCCCATCACAGGCATCCCGACTGTCTCCCTGTATCCCCGCACACAGCATGTTATCAGAGATAGCATTCCACATAGCATTGATACAGTCATTCCGTGGGACCAAAGGGATTTCAATATACTGGAGGACAGAGGAGAAATTATATTTTTCCTCGCTCCTCTTGCCCCAGCCTGTCACCACTGTCTTTGTCCCTTCTTTCATCAGCTCCTGGGTTGCCAGATTCTTGGAAGGCAGGCAAATGGGCAGCTTGAACCTGTCAATGGAAACTGGGTGGGCAAGGTGCAACAAGGCTATGTCATTATCGGAGGTGATGGCAGAATAATTCTCATGAGGCAATAGGGTGTCAGCGACTATTTCTTGTACATCTTTTTCTAGCCGGCGATAGTATTTACCTGTAAGGGAACAGAAAACTATACTATGATCTAAGCCAGTCTTTTTTTTAAACAGAGCCCTTAAGGAAAGGTGTTCATTTATTTCTTGCATCTTAACATGAGCAAACTCCATATCCAGAATAGGAACCGGTGGCTATAAGACTTTTTTTAGGGATACAGTGTGCCTAAATCCCAGGAAATTTGTGTACATCAAGTAGAATTCTGTATCGCATTGTGGCTGTGAAGCTCTCCCAGAAAGAGTGCATGCATCCAGAAAGAACTGGGAAAGCCCAGGTATATGTTCGGAATGGAAAAGGAAACTTCCAGGGGAAGAGAGACACGAGCATTAGATTCTTGTATAGTTAACTGACTGAGTAAAAGAACAAGCCTACGGAAGTGAAGACAGAAAAAAGCCTACAACTCCCAGCATGCATTCTGCCTAAACTTGCACAGGATAGTGCTCCAGGGTAGATAAGTAGAAATGGGAGGAAAGGTTGCATCATGCATTGCAGTTTACAGGATTAAACGTTGGCCTTGGGCTCCTCCTCAAATGCTAAAGCATTTCTAGACTGCACTACTTTCAGTCACAGGTAGGAAATCATATGCCTGAATGAAACCTCATTTAAAAACTCAACACATATAGAAAAGTAACACGTCAGGGAGAAACATTCTGGCTAGCCCTCACCCTGGTGATTCCTCTTGTTTGGAGACTGGCTGAGAAAAGGGTTTGCCATATGATAATACAAACTGGCCTACCAAAAGATTTAAGATAGTGCTAAGATGCTATGGAACCTTCACGATTTACCTTCCTCTTCTGCATTTCTAAAGCCCACGCCTGAGTTCTGATCGGATTTGCATCAACACCTCCACCCCCTCCAAAATATCCAGTGGGATGGGGAGGAAGATTTCCAGTGCTTTACTTTCTCACTGAAATTGTCCTTTTCATAAGTTCATTAGCACCAGTGAATGGATGCCAGTTGCAAATGGATGCCAGGACGACTTCTTTTATATTTTTTATTTATTTTATATTGTTAATTTTAATTTTATATTGTTATTTTTGTATTTTATTGTGTTGTAAACGGCCCCGAGGCTTCGGCAAGGGGCAGCATAGAAATGTAATAATAATAAAAACAACAACAACAATAGGAGGCAAGCTTGACAGCTTACAGGTGTAATTCATGTTTTTCAGGAGGTCATCCCTAGTATAAATGGGAGAGAATTCAGAAATTCTTTTGCAGAAATTCATCTATATCTCCGTGCGAAATGGAAGAGCAGGTTGCTTACCTGTAACTGATGTTGTTCGAGTGGCCATCTGTGCAGTCACACATATGGGTTCTGCACCTGCGCAGTGCCCTTGGCTGGAAGATTGATAGCTAACGGTTTGGTGGGAAAACTCTGCTCCCCCTCCCCCCTAGCAGTATATATGGAGCGGAGTGTCTGCCATTTTCCAGTCTTGGACAGACTGGACGTTCGCTCTTCTAATAAAAAAAAAATTCTCGGTATCGATGGAAGAAAAAACATCATGGCGATACGAAGAGCAAAGAAAAATTAGCTTGGTACCGAAGGGGGAAAAAAAAATTAGAACCACCCAATGACACCAAGCGGGGCCGGTGGGTGGATTGTGTGACTGCACAGATGGCCACTCAAAGAACATCAGTTACAGGTAAGCAATCTGCTCTTCTTCGTCTGTGCATCACACATATGGGTAGAATAACAAGCTTACCCCAAATGGTGGAGAGAGGTGTCATCAACGGAGAATAGCTGAAAGAACAGCTCTGCCGAAGGAGCAGTCCTGTCTAGCACGAACAGCCAGTCTATAATGCTTTGCGAAAGTACATGGAATAGCCCAGGTGGCAGCTCTGCATACATCTTCAATCAGGACTCCCGACGCAAAGGCTGAAGAAGCAGCTACAACTCTAGTGGAATGACCTCTGGGAACTGTAGGTAAGTCTATCTTGGCCAACTGATAGGACAAAGTAATAGTATGAACTATCCATTTGGACAGTCCCTGAGGAATAACTGGGAAGCCTCGATTTTGTTCCGAGTATTTAATGAAGAGTCTATTGGAATGTCGAATAGACTCAGTCCTTGATCTGTAGAAAGCTAGGCAGCGCCGGACATCGAGAGTATTCAGGGACCTCTCGATCGGATTCGAAGGAGATGGGAAAAATGCAGGCAAGCTAATCTCCTGGTCCATGTGGAAAGACGTAGCCACTTTTGGAAGAAAAGACAGGTCCATTCGGAGCACTACTTTCTCTTTGTGAAACAAAAATGGAGGGTCTACCCTGAGGGCACAGAGTTCACTAGATCTACGGGCTGAAGTAACTGCTATCAGGAAAGCAGTCTTCCAAGAAACAAGACGTAAATCAATTGTTGCCAAAGGTTCGAAAGGAGGTCTTGTTAGTGCCTGTAGTACCACTGAGAGACTGCACGTGGGCATAAGTGGTCTGATTGTTGGATGAAGGTTGCAGAGTCCCTTAAGAAATCTCTTAACCAATGGCTGAGAAAAAATGGAAAAACCCTGCACCGTCCCACGATAATAGGAGATTGCTGCCGTATACACTCTTATGAAAGATGGTTTAAGTCCAGAATGGTGGAGTTCGAAGAGGAACTGAAGGATCTGATCTATGGATGCAGAGCTCGGTGAAAACGAATGAGATTCGGCAAAAACAGAGAATCTACGCCACTTCGCCGCACACGATTTTTGAGTGGACAGCCTTAGCGCAGAATCGAGAATATATTGGATGTCTGGATGAAGAACTTGCGAAGCCAACAGAATATTCGTCAGATCCAAGGACATAGAGGAGGTAGATGGATTCATAGCGTGGAATGGCGTGTCAGATCTAGGGATAGGATCAGTAGAAACTGCAGATGGCGTCGGTAGCGGGCCAGCGTTGACAGCTATCGACTTTGCCAGGCTGTCAGTTTCAGCGATGCTAGATCCGGGTGCCGGATCGTGCCCTCCTGCTGAGTTCTAAGATAAGGAATGGGAGGGAGTTGAAGGTATTCCTCTCGGGAAATGCGAAGAAGTGTGGAGAACCAAGGCTGGCATGGCCACCAAGGAGTTATCAGCAGTCCTGTGGCCCCATCGTGAATTACCTTTGATATTACTCTCATGATGAGGGGAATCGGGGGGAAAGCGTAAAAGATCATATCGTTCCAAGGGATCATAAAGACATCCCCGGATGACCCCTGTCCGATTCCCGCTCTCAAGCAAAAAGTCTCGCATACCTTGTTTTGTCGGGTGGCGAATAGGTCTATATCTGGGAGACCCCATCGCTGGAACAGCCTGTTGCATGTCTGGCGGTCCAGTTCCCATTCGTGCGACTTGGACATGTGCCTGCTCAAGAGATCTGCTTCCACATTATCTGTACCAGCTAGATGCACTGCTATCAGGGTGATGTCTCTCGGGATGCACCACTCCCAGATTTGCATTGATAGTCGGGCTAACTTCGGAGACTTTGTCCCCGCTTGCTTGTTCAAGTAAAAGACCATGGCCATGTTGTCCGAGGTTATTTGGACAACTCGATGGCAAAGCACGTCCTCGAATGATTGTAGTTCTTTGAATACTGCAAGAAGTTCCAGGAAGTTGATGTGATTCCTGGACTCCAGTTGGTTCCATATGCCCTGCGTGTGTAGGCCAGAGCACAGGGCTCCCCATCCCAGCAGAGACACATCGGTACCGAGAGTCATTGTAGGGTACCGAGGTCGGAACGGAACTCCGATGTTTAGGTTTTCTGATGCCATCCACCATAGTAGAGATTGTAGGATGGAGGACGGGAGTCAAATCAGCTTCGTAGGTGGATCCCTCTGTGGCCGGAACATTCCGTTGAAGAACAGTTGAAGGGGGTGAAGCCGGAATTTGGCATATGGAACTGCAGCAATGGATGCTGCCATGTGCCCCAAAAGTCTCTGAACAGATTGTGCAGAAACAGTTCCGTCTTGTTGAATTTGGCAGATGTGTCGAGCGATAGTGCGCTGTCTGTCTTGAGGGAGGAAGGCCTTCGCCACCGTAGAATCCAGCCGGGCTCCAATAAAGTTGATCATCTGCGTAGGGACAAGAGAAGATTTCTCACGATTAATGCAGAGTCCAAGGTCCTGCAATAAGTCACAAACCATATTTACACAGGAGCAAAGTCCTTCTCTAGTCTGGGAAACCAACAACCAGTCATCGAGGTAAGGGTATATCTGAATAGTCGAAGATATGTGCAGACGGGGGGCCATACACTTCGTGAAAACCGTCAGTGCAGTGGCCAGTCCAAACGGCAGCACCTTGAATTCGTGAATTTCAGAAGTTACCACAAAACGGAGGAAACGCTTATGACGTGGATAGATCAAAATATGAAAATAGGCAACCCTCAAGTCCAGTGAGGCGAACCAATCCTCTCTCCTGAGCAACGTCAGGATATTTTGAAGTGTGGTCATCTGAAACTTCTTTGGTGTTATAAATTTATTGAGAGCTCTCAGGTCCCATATTGGTTGAAGACCTCCGTCTCGTTTTGGGACCGTAAAATATCTAGAATAGAATCCGTGGAGTCCTTCTGATAAAGACAAGCAACAAATGGTTCCTTTAGACAGGAGTTGGTGAACCTCGTCTAATAATACTGGTGAGCATGGAGTAAACTGGATAGGACTCGATGATGGAACGATGTCGAATTCAATTCTATATCCATTCTGGATGATGGATAACACCCACCCATCAGATGTAATGGACTCCCAAATGGGGAGTCAGCTTTTCAGCCGGTCCCCAAATGAGAGGGGGGAGGGTGGGGTTGGAAGGAGAGGAAAGGTTCACCCGCCCCATCAGCGCTGGTGTTTGTCTCCGTCGAAGCGGCGTTGGCTTTGTTGGAATCGCTGGGGCGGTTGTTTGCAGCATTGTTGGCGATGCTGTGACTGTTGGCGGGGTGAGTATTGCTGTCTGTATTGTGGACGGGTCCATGACCACTTACATAGAGGAAGAGGTTGCATCTCCATACGCCAGGCCATCATCCTCGACTCGTGGATCTTCTTCAACTTATGGTCGGTCTTTGCGTTGAAGAGGCCGGATCCATCAAAGGGCATCTCCTCAATCCTCTTCATCTCTTCCGGAAAGTTGTAGTTACACAACCAGGGGTGTCTCCGGAGAGAGATGGCGCAGACGAGAGCCCTCTTGTCCATATCCACATGGTACCTAGCTGTGGATAGCTGTTGCACCGCGACCTGCATTGCCTCCTTTAAGAACACCCGCACCAAGTCACCTTGATTATCTGGGAGGGTGGCGATGATGTTGTCCAGGCACTGCATTATAAAATATTGATAATGCGCCAGGGTCACCTCATAATTCGAGATTCTTAGACCGAGTCCCGAAGCCGCATAGACCTGGTGCGCGAGGGAGTCGATTTTCCTTCCTTCTTTGTCATGGGGCGCTGTGTGACCCCGTGCCTTCCAGTCTTGAGAAGATTCTACCACCACCAAATTTGGTTTGGGGTGGTGGAGGAGGAATGGAATGTCCCCCTCACGAACATTATACATCACCTCATATCTTCTTGAGGTCGGTTGAGGCTGAGCCGGGAGGTCCCATGGTTGGGTCATCGCTTGTCAGAGAGTTGCAATAAGTGGTAAAGCGATGGAGGTCGATTGTTCTCCCTGCACTACATCGTAGAAGCGATCGGTGCTGGGTCCAGGTTGTTGATTAGCCTTGATCTCCATTGACTTCACCAGCCTGGACATCAGTTTGGCAAACGTGATGTGTGGCTCTTCCGGTGATGCTGGGCCTTGTGAAGTGATTGCAGCATCGGGCGAAGTCGAATCAACCTCGGACTCATCTGAGTCCACCCAATAGGGAGGCGGGACACTAGAGGAGGAGTCTCCCGGAGACTGTGATCTGCTGCTCTCCCAAGACGGTGCACGCCCGGCGCCCCTCGAAGCTGTAGAATGAGGTCGATCCCGATGTTCTGGTGGGGGGGAGCAGCCTCTAGCAGCTGAGTAGTATCCGACGGATAGTCGGGCCATCTCGGTGCGGAAGAGTACCGGGAATGGTACCAGTCGTCAGAACAAGCTTCAGAAGACTGGCTCCTCCGGCTTCTTGCGGGGATAACCCGGTTCCAGGGTTGAGTCCAACAGGCGGCATAGGTGTCAGGGACCAAGCCCTCGGCGGAGAGTCTTGAATCTCGCCATCAGAGATCGAACTGCGAGGTGGATCCTGGTGTAGTTCTGATCGCATACGGTGCAGAGAGGCTAGAGGAGTAACTCTCATCACCGCCTGAATGGTTGGACCCGAAAGCGTCGGTACCAGGATCACCGTCGGAACCGAGGAAGCCACCGAACCCGAGGGTCGGTGTTTTGAATGCTTGGGTTTCTTTGGTTTTTTTGGTGGTTTTTCGGCCTTATCCCTTTTGGCCTTCTTGTGCACAGGCGGCTTCTCAGGGCCACTGTGTTTCCTCTTTTCCCGTTGTTTCTTGGGCGGGGAAACAGGCTGCTCTCCCATGGCGGAAGCACCCTCGCCCGAAGGGTGTGAGGGCGGAGCAGCAGAGGAAGGGGCCGGACGTTGCGGTGGATCAGCTGAAGACAGATGGCAGTCAGGTGGGGCCGAGGTTGTAGCAGGCTTAGCCACCAGCAGGTCCGATTGTAGGAGGGCCTGATCCCACAGGCGCTTACGTAAACGGTTCTCCCTGTTCTTCCTGGCCTGTTTAGAGAAGGCCAGACAATGGCCGCACTTGTCCGTCCTGTGGCCCTCCCCTAAACAGAGGAGGCACAGGTCGTGCGGGTCTGCAGTGGGCATTTTAGAGCCACACTCTCCGCACTTGCGGAACGCCGCTCATTGAGCCATCGTGGAAAAAGGAAGAAAAAGAGGATAGTATAGCGGGAATACATAATATTTTTGTGGGTTTTTTAAAATAGGAACGAGGAATGCGAGGAACGAGAAAAAACCAAGAGAGTAACTGGAACAGTAAGATTAAGGTAAGGTGGGAATACTAACTTGGAAAAAAGAGAAAGAGTTCGAAACAAGAGAGCACGAGGAACAATCTAAGTGAGAGTGAAACGGCACGAGGCACAACGAGTGGAGTTTTCCCACCAAACCATTAGCTATCAATCTTCCGGCCAAGGGCACTGCGCAGCCACAGAACACATATGTGTGATGCACAGAGGCCACGACGAAGAACTAATAAATACGGACAGCAAATTAAAGGTGCCCTGACAAACCCAGTGGAAGGGAGTTGCACTCTGCTGAAATGGATCAGTTTTGGTTGTCAGCGTATCATACAGAATTCGTTGGTTTTCTAAAATTAATCAGTGTATCCTCTGGTTGCTAACTAAAGGATGCTGACTGAAGGATGCTGGCAGTTGCAGTCCAACATATCTGGAGGGCTCAAGGTTGGAGAAGCTTGAATTAAGGCAGACTTAAATGTATGTTTAGATGCAGGGGGGATTGTACAAGTAAAATAAACATTACATGACTTATTAGCATTTTTTATGCAAATAGGGAGAAATGGTTGTGAATGGCCCTAACCTGCACTGGAGGTTTTTCTTAAAAATGTACTAATGCAAAATTTTCTGGAAAACTCACATCCCTGCCCACAGTTTTTAAAAGCCAGTTGCGCAATTGCTGATTGCACAGCTGCTGTCTCATTCTAGAATACTCTGTCACTGTGGCCTGCCAGTTGACTGATGGTTGGCTGCAGGGTCCCATATTCAAAAGAAATGTGGCCATTATGCTTTTCCTTACCAAATGCAAGTTTGATCCTTGATTGCCCTCTCAAACAGTGAGCAGCTGTTAGCACCCAGCTGGGGTGAATGAGCGTTCCACCACACGTGAACTTGCCCTTACTGTTTTTCAGCATAACCTGAAATGGAAAGGAAGACAAGGCGGAAGGTTATTGCGAGCTCAGTCACACATCCTTCACTTCACAGTGTATGTCCAGGATTGTTCCGCTCGTGATCTTGCTTGATCTTTCCCCTGCTATTCATGGTCCAATGGCAAATGCCTTCTGATGTGTTTCTGGTCAAGGTATTTTTAATGGGAATTATAATGGAAATAATAGTTTGTCAATGACCTACAATTTCCACATTTCTCATGGAGGTCCACTTACATGCCAAGTAGACACTTCCCTATGTCCTCTGGGGATTCAAACTTCAGAAAGGGAGTTACTTTTTACACCAACCATATTGCTGAAAGTTTGAGGTCCCTGATCTGATTCTTATTTCAACCAAGATTCATTTGTTTTAACAGACGTTCACAACATTGTACAAGAGGTAGCAACTAAAACCATCCCAAAGAAAAGAAATGCAAGAATGCAAAATGGCTGTCTGAGGAAGTTTTACAAATAGCTGAGGAAAGAAGGGAAGCAAAAGGCAAGGGAGAAAGAGAAAGATACACCCAATTGAATGCAGAATTCCAGAGAATAGCTAGAAGAGATAAGAATGCCTTCTTAAATGAACAGTGCAAAGAAATAGAAGAAAACAATAGAATAGGGAGGGCCAGAGTTCTCTGCAAGAAAATTGGAGATATGAAGGGAATGTTTCATGCAAAGATAGGCATGATAAAGGACCAAAATGGCAGGGACCTAACAGAGGCAGAAGAGATTAAGAAGAGGTGGCAAGATTACACAGAACTGTACAGGAAAGAGCTTAACATCCCTGATAACCATGATGGGGTGGTCACTGACCTTGAGCCAGACATCCTGGAATGTGAAGTCAAATGGGCCTTAGGAAGTCTAAGTGACAACAAAGCTAGTGGAGGCGACAATATTCCAGCTGAGCTATTCAAAATCCTAAAAGACGATGCAGTAAAAGTGCTACACTCAATATGCCAGCAAATTTGGAAAACGCA